CACACACACACACACACACACACACACACACACACACACACACACACCTGCCCCAAACTGTTCAGGGGATAAGTTTTTATTTTAATCCCAATGTGGAGATAAAAGGATGCTTCACAACAGGTGGCTATGATGTGCTTTCTGCACTAGCAGGCTGTGGTTTTACCAGATGCAGATAGTTTCATTGAGTGTGTGATTTGTGGAATTCTAGGAACTTTTCATATATAAATGCTAGGACCCCAGGGACGCGGTTGCTGTTGTTGGCTGGTTTGTGGTTGGATGCTCTGGTTCTGCTTGTCAAGTAGTTATTTGGAAAAGAAAGGAGAAGGAGAAATTAGATATCCTGATGTCAAAACTCCACTGATCAACTGGAAGTAATCTAATTGCTTTCCTCCTTTCCCTTCTATCCTTTTTTCTTTCCTATCTACTGTTAGGGGCTTGGAGAGGTAGAAGAGAAATAAAGGAACCCACAAAGTGGCCAAAGTGCTGGCTACATTTCTCCTCAATGTTTCTTATTAGTATATATTTGTTATACATAATTGGTTTCATTATGACATTTTCATGTTTACTGTATTACAGTTTAGATCACATTTATTTCCCCTTACCTTTTTTTTGAACCTTCTTTCTGTTACTCTCCTTCCTCTTCCTAATTAGCTCCTTTTTAATTTTTTGCTCATTTTAAGATTTTGATACAATTTTTATGTGTTTATTAGGAAGTTAAGGCTTTTCTGTACCTCTATGTTTTGTTTTTGAGACAGGGCTTCTCTGTGAAGTCCTGGCTATCCTTGAGCTCACTCTATAGACCAGGCTTCTCTTGAACTCATATATGCATCTGCCTCTGCCTCCTAAGTGCACAAGATTAAAGGTGTATATCACTCTAAATAAATATATAATTAAGCTAGGTAAGTCTATATATTTATTTGTTCTTTAAAAGAGGAACAGGAATGTTTTCCTGCTATTTTTATCTTTTTTAAAATTTTACTTACTCTCCTTATATCCTAATTGTAGCTTTCCTCCTCTCCCTCCAGTCCCACCCTTCCTTCCTCTTTGCCCTATCCCCCTCCCCTCCCCCTTCTTACTAATCCACCCCAACACATCAAGTCACATCAAGACTGAGCACATCCTCTTTTAATGGTGGCCTGGCAGGGCAGGCCCGCCAGGGGGAAGTGATCAAAAAGCAGGCAACAGATCCATGTTGGAGACAACCCCTGCTCCCTTTACTAGGTAACTTACATGAAAGCCACACCTTCCCATCAGGAACATATGCCTAGGGGACCTAGGTCTAGTTTATATATGGTCTTTGGTTGGTGCTTAAGTCTCCGCCCCCTGCTTACCTCCCCCTCCTGCCCAGGGCCCAGGTTAGTTGGCTCTGTTGGTCATCATATGGAGCTCCTGGCACCTCCAGGTCCTTATGTCCTTTTCCACACTCTTCCACAAGGCTCCCTGCACTCTGCCCAGTGTTTGGCTGTGAATCTCAGTATCTGTTGCTGAGAAAACTTTTCTGATGTTTTCCCCATGAATACTTACTAGGCAGTCTCCACTTAAAATAGTGATTCAGTGTTTAGTTGTGCCTTCTCATATATTAGCATCATTGGCTAGAATTAGATGCTGTTGCAGTTAACTATTAAATAGTGTTTTCTTGAGGATCCAAGATGGCGGTGACCAGCGCACACCATATCTGAGGGACAGAGGATGTGGAACTCCGAAATAGTGTTTTCTTACATTAGGTGTAAAATCTTAGATAAAACTGAATCGTTTCTATTTGATAGTTGGTTTGTGTTCACTCAGTGTTGAATCCCCTTGGGAAGGAATCTCACCTAGAGCTTGTGTAGTTTAGGTTAGCCTATGGGCATGCCTGTGGGGGAGTATCTTGTTTATGTTAGTTCAGATGGGAAGACCTGCCAGTTCTGGGTAACACCATTCTTTGGATTTGAGTTTTGGGCTGTATAAAGGAGAAGGTGATGTGAACACAAGCATGCATTTAAATTTTCTGTCTGCTTTTGAATTTGGATGTGATTACTTGCTTCTAATTTGTGCTTGACTTCCTAACAATAATGTATTGTAACCTGTCACATCTCCCTTCTTGTTGCTTTTTGCTTGTTAGTTTTCTGTTCCTGTAACTAGTACCTGAGATGATCAGTTTATGAAGAATCTGGTTCATAGGTGCAGTGGCACACGCCTGTAATCCCAGCAACTCGGGAAGGCGGAGGCAGTCAGATCTCTCTGAGTTTAAGGCCAGCCTGGTCTACAAAGCAAGTCCAGGACTGCCAAGACTACACAGAGAAACACTGTCCTGAAAAGCAAAAAAAAAAAAAAAAAATTAAGAGGTTTCAGTTGGTGGTAGATTAGCCCTATTATGGTAGAAGTGATTCACGAGGCAAAACTCATGGCCTAGATTTGGAAGAGTATGGTATCTAATGTCTTCTTCAAAGGTGTGCCCCAGTATCATGGATACCTTCTAATAATGCACTGAAGGGAACACCCTCCTACACTTAGGCCTTTGGGAGCACATCTCAGTTCTCAGGTATGGCAGTGGCTAACACAGGAAAGGCAGAGCGGAGGGTCTGGAAGATGTGAGAGAAATAAAGACTGCTTGCCTTGTGGTTCTTTCTTCAAAGGTGCTGTTACACATAGTCTACATGTGGGTTTCACTAAGTGGAATCATGCTTGACTCTAAGTAGCAGGTTCGTTTTTAATAAGTATTAAGAGGCCTCCACCCCCTTTGAGACACAGTTTCTCTGTATACTTTGGCCATTCTGGAACTCACTCTGTAGACCAGGCTGACCTGGAACTCACAAAGATTTATCTGCCTCTTCCTCTCAGTGCTGGGATTAAAGCCATGTACTGCCCAGCCTGTTAATAGGGTTTTTAAGAAAATATGAACAGCCAGGTTCTTTAGGGACTCATTTATTTGTTAATAGGATTTACTTTAATACTTTCTGTTTGCCATTTTGTTGATATGTGGAGTTTTGATTATAGACTATTTGACAAAGGTGAAGATATAATTTATTAGAAGATACAACCCTTTTGAGGCTAGTGAGGCAATTTTCGTTATTTAATCCAGTATATGAATTTTCCAAAGGGCAGGAAATATGAGGAACCTTGAGCGGTGGCCCATATCTGAATACTAGCACTAGAGAGTCTAAGGCAGGAGGACCACTGTGTTTTAGACCAGTTTCAACTGAGTGAGATTATGCCTCAAAACAGAAACAAAAAAATGAATTTTTAGAACTTAAAAAGAAAATGAGATTAAGAGCTGAGATAAGGGGAGAAAACATCCCAGTTCTTATATATTTCTGGAGCCTGACCTAGGCAAAGGATAGAAAATACTGTTTATCTTTTCTTTTTAAAATTTATTTATTTATGATGTGTACAATGTTCTGCCTGCATGTATACCTGCACACCAGACTGGGATACCAGATCTCATTATGGATGGTTGTGAGCCATCATGTGGTTGCTGGGAATTGAACTCAGGGCCTTTGGAAGAACAGCCAGAGCTCTTAACCTCTGAGCATCTCTCCAGCCCATTGTTTTTCTAATTATTATTGTATAGTTATCTTTATCTTTTTCCCAGCATGAAATCATCATATTTGCACTATAGTACTACAGTATTACAGTTTGTGGGTCATTTGGCAGCTCACTCTTGACATGCAGTGTGATCTTCAGAAAAATAGAGTTTGGGGCTCGAAAGATGGCTTAGTGGCTTAGAGGGTTTTCTGTTCTTCCAGAGGACCAGCCTTGATTCCTAGCACCCATGTGACAGCTCACAACCGTCTGTAACTCCTGTCTTAGGTGATCTAACACCCTCTTCTGACCTCTGCGAGCACCAGGCAAGCATGTGGTACACAGACAAACAGGCAGGCTAAACACCTATATACATAAAAGAAAAGAGAAAAACATAGTTTTAGTTAAGACAGCTGACATTTAGAGCCGTAAGTCATTATGATGTGTGAGTACATGTATGAATAGTGGATAATAGAATCTCAGAATTCATTTGAAGTGGTTCTTTTTTTTTGAGACAGTTACTCTGTGTAGCCTTGGCTAAAGTGGTTCTTAATCAAATGAGAATGGTAGAACTTATGTAATGCACAGATTCACTGTTTGGATTATTCTTCATGTGGAACTATTCTTTAAGGTTTCAGGTACGCTCACCAACATTTTTTCAAAAATGCCGGGATCAGCACTGGTACATTACTCAGTTGGAAGCTGCACAGACTGGTTATATTCAACAAATAAACAATCTTAAAGAGGTAAGCTCTCTGTTCAGCCTATTATGCTTTTGGCCTGATGCTTTTTGAGTTTGATTTTTGGCTATCCATTATAGGATTGTGGTAAAAACTTGATTGTCTTTTTCTTTACCCTTTGAGCCTGTACGTTCTGTATCACTCAATTGTATCATCACATTAGTTTAATTTAATAAAAGTCAGTGATACTAATTCTTAGGTGTGGTAACTTTATTTCAGGAGCTGTAGATAGTTGATACTTCTGTTGTGCAAAGTTGTGTGTAGTGCCATTCTGGTTTGACAATGTTATCTCAAACTAAATTGCCTTCTATAAGCTGTCTTGGGTTTAAAGATTCAAAAGTAGAATAATTGAAAGTTGCCACACTTTGAATTCTTGCTGTTGTTTATTGAGCACTATAATAAATAGGTTGTTCACAAATTTTGATTGTGTAATGGTGAAATTAGGTAAGAATTCTTTACTTCATGTGGAATTTGAATTGACTTTATGTTGTTACTGTGTGTATGTGTGTGTATGCGTGTGGGGGGGTGCTCATGCCACTGTGCACATTTGGAAGTCAAAGGACAACTTGTGGGAGGTGATTCTCTCCTACTATGTGGGTTCAGGGATTGAACTCAGTCAGGCCTGGTGGCAGTGCTCTTACTCATTGAGCCACCTTGCAGCTCCTCCAGATGGACTTTAGATGGAGTAGAAAGTTTGGCTTATGAAAGTGGTAGTAGATGAAGCACAAAAAATATGAATGAATATAGATTTAAAACTACTAATGCTGGACATGTAGCTCAGTAATTGAATGTTTACTTCATACTGGGTCCTCAGCACCATCAAACAAAACAGATCAAAACTGCCTATATTCTCTGTACAGTTCGTGAACTGTATAGTTTAGACTGCATATGTAAAAGGGTATTTATCTTTCTCATAGGCATAGTTCAGAAACAGGAGAGGAGAAAATGAGAAAATTAAAGAAATGATTTTTGTTTTATTTTGTTTTCTAACGACTTTTTATTTGTGTTTATAAGTGTTCTATTTGCATGTGTACCTGAATGACAGAAGAGGGCATCAGATGCCATTATACATGGTTTTGAGCCACCATGTGGGTGTTGAGAATTGAACTCAAGACCTGGAAGAACAGCCAGTGTTCTTAACCACTGAGCCATCTTTTCTGTCCAAAGACATGCTTTTTAAAAATCAGTCTGAGGAACATTTGGATCTACTTTTTTTCCTCTGTTTTTGAGATAGGTTTTTAGTGTGTAGTTCTGGCTGCCTTGGAACTCTCTGTATAGATCAGGCTGGCCTCAGGCTCACGGAGATCCAACTGTCCATCTCCTCAGTATTGGGAGTAAAGGAATCTAACACCATGCCAAGCTCCCCCTGAATGTTAGTATCAACAGGTGACAAAGGCTTAGCCTTCTGGAGAGCATGTGTGCAAGCATGTTCTCAGGTCCTGTATATCTCCTTCAGTGTGCATTGTACTGCTGACTCATGCAGGATGGACAAGGCACACATGTATGTGTCTTGCTTGTCTCCTCCAGGAGCCCACCTTCTGCTTATCCCCTGAGCTGTCTCTTCAACTCCAACATTATGCTGCTTTTTTTTTGTACTGTGAAGACCAGACTGCACATCCCTGGCTTCTATCTAGTTTATATCTAATTTTTAACTATAAACATCGTTTACTTTGTTACTGAGACACTTATTACACTTAATATTGATTTATACTGTTCTTATTTTAAAAGAGATTGACTATTGAGCTGTCCCGAAGTCAGAAATCAAGAGATCTGTCACCACCGGATAATCATCTTAGTCCTCAAAGTGATGATATTCCTGAGACACGAACTAAGAAGTCTGGGCCATGCTCTGACATGCTTCTGGAAGGTGGTCCTACTTCAGCTTCTATAAGAGAGACCAAAGAAGATGACGATGAGGAGGAGAAGATTCAGAATGAAGACTATCATGTAATTCTAGATTTTGATTGGTAATGTGTATGGTAGGGTCATAGTCTCCAGCATAAAGTAGAGGGGAAGCAATGTCCTCAAAATATTATCTGCTAGTTTTCATTATTAGTGTATACATTATTTGTAAATTTAATACTTAACACAACATTGCAAGTTATAGAAGGTCATTCTCTGATACTGTGACAAACAGTCTATAAACTGGATTGTGGAATTTAAAAATATCTCTCCCTTGCCCCCCTGGCTTTAAGATTTACTTTGTGAGGAGAAACCTTATTGGAAGCTGATGTGGGATATATGAATTATTCCTAGTTGCATTGAGGACCCAGCTCAGACTGATAACTAACTGTAAATCAGTAGTGATAATGGTTAGTGAGGTCAATGATGTTTCTCTAGAGTACTTAGCAGTGCAGGCACAGGATCAGAATATAGAACTCTGGTAGTGTCCTGGATGAGATGACCAACTGAGTACAAATGTTTGGGTGGTCCTTGCTAAATGTTATAGCTCTCAGGAAGCTGAGATGGGAAACTGCATGAGTCTTAAGACCAGCCTGGATTATATTATAAGACTGTTGACTCAAAATTCCAAAAAGGAATGCACCTTGTTGTTGCCTTGTAGCATGAGCTCTCAGATGGCGATCTGGATCTGGATCTTGTTGGTGAAGATGAAGCAAATCACTTGGACGGCAGCAGCTCCTCCGCTAGTTCCACAGCAACAAGCAACACAGAGGAAAATGATATTGATGAGGAGACCATGTGAGTCCCATGCTAACACTACGAAGTAGGATTATTAGAAACAGTAATAGCTAATTTATGTTAAGTATGAAAATATTCAGCACATTTTTTTAGATATAAAGTAGGTCTTCTAAGCTAAGCTAGGAGTTTTTGCTCTTGTTTTATTTCTTTATTCAGAAGAAGTATTTTTACTAGACAGGAGACATAGCACAAGGATTAAGAGCACTGACTGCTCTACCAAAGGATCTGGGTTCAGTTCCCAGCATCCACATGGCAGCCTGCAATCATCTGTAGCTCCAGTCTCAGGGTATCTGATGTTCACTTCTGGCTTCTGTGGGCATTATACAGTCATATATGTGAGCAAAACACTCATACACATTAGATACATAATTTATTTTTGTTTTTTGAGATAGGGTTTGTCTGTGAGACAGGATAGCTCTGGCTATCCTGGAACTCACTCTGTAGACCAGGCTGTCCTTGAGTTCAGAGATCTGTCTGCCTCTGCCTCTCAAGTGCTGAGATTAGAGGCTTGAGTGGCTTTTTAAAAATTTCCTTAATTTCACTTGATAGTAGGTCTGTAGAGTTCAATACACTTTTACACTAGGACTTGATCTTAAGATTTCTTTAAATACATGAAACTCATTTTCTTTTTCACTGCTTCAAATAGAGCTTTGTGGTTTAATTTAAAGTAGTTTAGAGCTGACTTTTAAAGAACAAATGGAAACCAGTACCCTGTTTTCTGAAGTTGTCTTAGTCACATAACAGTTACAGTGTCTGTGTGTGTCTGTGTGTGTTTAAGGCAAGGTCTAAAAGTAGCCTCACTAAAGTCATTGTGTAGCTAAGGATGACCTTTGTGTGCCTCCCAAATTTTGGCATACAGTCATGTGCCATCAGTCTTGACTTGATCTTTTTTCCTTAAATATTAAAATGTGAGGTGTTTTTGTTGTTGTTGTTTTGTTTTTGTTTTTTTCAGGGGGTTGTTTGGTTTTGGGATTTTCCTGCTATCATTAGAGTGTGGGTGCTCTAATCTTTGAGATGTTCTCACCATAGCCTAAGCTCACAAACTTGCCCTGTAACTGAGGATGAGAACTTTTGATCCTCCTTTCTCTGCCTCCTTAATCCTGCAACCACTGGGATTACAGCTGGGTCCATGTGGTTATAGAGATCAAACTCTAGGCTTCCTGAATGCTAGATAAGCACTGTACTAACTGAGCCACATGCCTGGCAACAGTGACAGCTCTTTATAAATGTGTAACTTCTTTTCTTGGACTGTTTTCTCAGATTTTCTGATGTAATAATTAAATATTGTTAGCTTAGTTTGAGGTTATTTAAAAGTTGTTTGAGCTGGGCTTGGTGGCAAACACCTTTAACCCCAGCACTCAGGCAGGCAGAGGCAGGCAGAGGCAGGCAGATCTCTTTGAGTTCGAGGCCAGCCTTGTCACAGAGCAAGTCTAGGACAGCCAAGGCTACACAGAGAAACCCTGTCTCAAAAAACAAACAAAAAAAGTTATTTGAACATTAAATGCATACTCAGGATTCTGACCAAGGTCTTTCATATTTTTTAGAGGGGAAAAAAAAAAAAAACTCATCGAAGTATGACAAGTACATTTTTTTAAAAAAATTTAAATTCATTGGAATGTGGTTTGTGAGTGTTCATACATACAACACTGTGCATGTAAAGTCAGAGGGCAACTTGGGAAACAGCTCTCTGTTTCTCTCCTGTGGGGCCTAAGGCTTGAACTCAGGTTATAAGGCTTGGTGGCATGTGCCATTTACCTGCTGAGCTGTCTTATTAATTATGAGTTATTGTGAACATGATGGCTTTTGTGTGTTCTCAGGTCTGGAGAAAATGACGTAGAATACAACAACATGGAACTGGAAGAGGGAGAACTCATGGAGGACGCAGCTGCGGCAGGGCCTCCAGGTACAGAGGCCAGCCTCCGAGATCCTCTTCCTTCTCTGATCACTTTGTTATGGGTTCAGGAATAGCTGCACACTGACCACACAGATTGATGGAAGTTTATTGACTGCAGAACAAAAACTGACCTTTCAGCGCCATAATCTGGCCTCGGGAGCCAGACTATGTCACTGGTCTGTTTCTAAGGCACATTTTTTTTTTTTTTTTTTTTAAATATACAAAAGAAACCTGGTAACCAAGTGTAGGAAGTGAGGCAGGGCAGCATTACATCATTTTGACTAGCTGAATATAATCGATTTTTTCCCAAGTGTATTGTGATGTATCTAGGTAGCTAGACAAAGCATTTTAGGGGAGCTCTTGGAGGCTTTCCAGCTTTCTGGAAGCAAGAAACAGAATGTTTCAATCTTTAACTCAAGCAAAACATGCATTTGTCATCTGTTGTTTTATTCTAAGCAGCAAATACTGAACTATTGAATTGTATCCTGGTCTTAGGCACATAGGCCTGAGAACTTGAATTCAGTTTCATCTTATGATCAAAATGGAGTCTTGAAGGCAAAATTGTTTCAGATATGCTAAGAACTGAAGTAGGTCTCACCGAAGGGGATGTAGAGGCAGGTTACAACAATTTAAAAGAATAGTAATAACTAATATTTACAAATGTCCCACTATACTAGGCACTTTGTGAAGCGCTTTTTGTGTATCATAATTATTTCTAAAATTCTGAGACAGATTTTAAAATCTCCATTAGTTATTCTGTTTCTTGACATGGGATCTCCTTATGTAGCCTGATTCTCCTGCCTTGGACTTTACAGAGGTGGAATTACAGACACAGACCACCATACCTGATAAAAATTTACTTTATTGCTGTAGCATCTGATGTATAGGTAAAGTAAGCAGCTTACCCTGTTTTTCACAGTTTAGCAAGTAAGGAGTAATCGGACCTTAAGGTTTATATGGATTCTAAGCTCATTTTACTCTTGACTCTGGAATGTGAGTTTTATTTGTATTAAGCTTTGGTTATAGAATGATCTAAATGGTCTCATTGGATCTAGGCTTACAAAGGATTTTTAGAGAGCTGATTTTTGAAATTATACAAACTCAGGTTTAGTCATTTGGTCCCATATTTAGTTGTTGTCTCAGATTTTCTTGGATCTGGTCCTTCACCCTTCCCAAATCACACTGTCACTTCTGAGAAGACTTTATGTATGTAACAGATGTTTTTGTTTGGTCTTTAGATCTGCTTGTGAAAATTGGCTAGAACATTTAAAAGCTGCCTTTTAGAATATCTCTTTGATCCTAGCTCTTGGAAGGCGGAGGCAGGAGGGTTAAGAAATTAAGGCCAACCTGAGCTACATTACAAGATCCTGTCTTTTTTTTTTTTTTTTTTTAACTAACTTTGTATTACTTTTAATTTACCGATCGTCCTCAGTTTTCTGCTGCAACTGAATAATAGTCTGAGTAATTTGTAAAGTTTTTATTTGACTCACAGTTACAAAGAAAAAGAAATGTAGGAGCAGGCAGTTACATTTGGTATATTCCTTCTTGCCAGCGGACACTCTAGATATAGTGCCGCTCAGGTCATCATACAACATCCTAGCTCAGGTTTTTCTCCTGATGCTGATAAAGCCAGGGTGTTCCAGCTGATTAGGATCCTACCATCTGGCCTAATCCAGTCTTAATTATCTGCCAAAGGTCCCACCTTCATATACCATAAAATATGTTTCTAGCTACTTAATAACTTAGATGGAGCTCAAATTTTGACATTAATTTTGGTGCCAAATATTCCAGCCATGGCATTCTGCCTGAAGCTTCTCCAAACTCCCAGCTTTCTTACTAGAACACCCAGGCCCTTGATGCCCTAGGCATAGGGCTGCACTGCTGTGAGCAGGGTGGGAATAAACCAACCCCCCTACCCCTGAATTGTAGGCAGTTTGACTGTGCTCACATATTAGCCAGTCCATCTCCTCTGTGCAGAGCATCTGTGACACTCACTGTGTAATCTAAGTCATGAATACCCTGTCATGGGCTGCTTACTCAGTAAGCTGGCTTTCTGGAGGCAAGTACCACTTCTTCCTCTGAAAATCTTCTAAGATTCCTTTCTCTGGTGACCCTGAGACTCTACCTCAGGACAACTGCCCACCTCTTGTTGCTAATAGATAATGGTGAGACAGAACAACAGAAAGCTAGCTATTCTAAAAGGGGAGAATATGTCAAAATACGTTAAAAGGAAGGAATAACCAACCCAAAACAATCTGAACCCAGCAGATCAAGCATTGGGCCTTTTATTATTGGGCGTGTGTGCTATGACTTGATTTCAGGACCTCACATTTTGTTGGACAGGAGTTCTAGTGCTGAGCTGGTTCCTAGCACATCAAATACTGAATCTTAAAGCTCAAAAAAATAAAATCCTCTGTGTGGATATGCCAAGGTATTCAGAATTCTGGAAAACTCTGCTCAAGTGGCTACACTCTCAGGTTGTATACAGGTGCCTGTGCTGCTATTCTGGGATGTCAAGAATAGCAGACTAGTTCCTGTGGCAAGTGTCTGTCTGTCCTTTCAGACACTTAATAGAGGCTGCCATACTTTCATAGGTTCTTTATTCTATGAGCCTACAGACCAGTCTCGTGCATACCACCAAGACTTACTTTCTGATGAGCTCTTCAGAGGACAACGTGAGCCACAGGTGGGTCTGTTGGAGCCACTCCAGGGAGCATCAACTTGGCAGCCCCTATTCTTTGAAACTGTTCTAATTTCTCAGCCCATTGTCTTGATTACTGTTTTTGATTACTAGCTACCTTTTCCATACTTGCTATTTGTAGCAAAGAATACCTCTGCTCTAATAATTTCTCCTTGGTACCTTTTTTACTCTTTAGGAGGACAGAATGTGATTTTCTTAGTCTTTATTCTTTGCTTCCATGTTGTTTGTTTGTTTGGTTTGTTTTGGTTTGTTTTTTCAAGACAGGGTTTCTTTGCGTAGCCCTGCCTGCCCTGGCACTTGATCTGTAGACGAGGCTGGCCTTGAACTCAGAGATCTTACCTGTCTCTGCTTCCTGGATGCTGGGATTCAAGGCATGTGCCAACTTCCATCTTAAATATAAATTCCAATTTTAAGTTATGCCCTTGTCCCTGAGTTATGCTCTTTGCAGTTAAGTTCACACACAGATCCTTCTGTTTACCCAGCTGTCATAGGTCATCCCTCTTAAACTTTTGTCTTCTATAAAGCAGTAGGCATAGTCGCATTTTTCTGAAGTTCGTTACTACTTCAAAACAATAATGCCTTTTTATTGACTTTCCAATAACACATTGCTGATGTTTTTTTTTTTCTTTTTTTTTTGGGGGGGGGTTGGGCAGCCCATCCTTTTACTAGCATTCCAGTCAATAACCACTCTCCCTATTTCACCAGGATTGCATGAAATGCTCTGTTTACAATACTCGGGCTTTTTCTAGCCAGTACCTTTAAAGTATTCCAGCCATTGCCCATTTCCTAGCTCCCAAGACACTTCTACATTTTCATTTTCATGTATTATTATGACCCCCAACCCCATTCTCAATATCTATTTTTTTTCTTTTGTTGTCGGTATAATGGGATGATCTGAAGCTAGGTGACTTACACAGAAAAATTTACTTACGTCAGTTTTGAAGCTCCAGGAACATGTGAAGTGTGTGTTTGTACCTGCAAGAGAAGCCAAAATACCAGGAGTAACCAGTATCAGCTTAATCCCATGATAACTCAGCCATTCTTGAGAGGTCTAATTCACTCTGGAATTAGACATTAATCATTCTTGGAATCAAGCCTCTAATGACCTAGTTATTTCTTAAAATTCCCAACACATCAGTAACTGTTAGACTAGAATCAGATTTCAACACAAATTTTTATAGGGACATTCGAACCATAGCACCCATGTTGTCTTAGTATGAACACTGGCATATTCTTTTACATGCTTAGATAAATAAAGGCATCTTTATCATTTACACTTCCAACCTAAGCCTTCTGTGTTTCAGTTTTGTTCATCCATACTTATATTACCTTTCCAGTCCCATCTCTAGCCTTTATCTTTCTCATGATTTTCATATTTTGTAGACTAATTATGACTAATCACCTCCCTAATGGAATAGTTACTTTACATTTGGTTATTGCCACTGCTGTGTGTTCTTCACTTCCTTTCCTTGGAGTTCTATGTTACCAAATTAAACTGGTTCCATCTTTAAGTAGTGCCTATGCTACTTTGTTATTGCCACTTTTTGCAGGTCCTAGGGGAGGCCTCTTGTTTCACAGCATCCTCTGATCAGGGTTCTTTGTAGTTGTTACTGCTCTGTTCACAATGTTTCCACACATCATGAATTGAGAATGAAGGTTTTTGTTTGTTTTTTCGTTTAATGAATATCTGACAATAGTATTTTTCCATTTAAAAAATCTACTAGATTTCAATTATAAAATAAAATCCAAATTCTTTAATCTAGACCACACATCCCTTTGTGTTCTGGTTCTTGTTAATTTCTTTTTTTATGTGAAAATATTTTATTTATTATATTATTATTTTTGTTCTTGAGACATGGTCTTTATTCATAGCCCTGGCTGTCCTGCAACTTGCTTTGTAGATCAGGCTGGCCTCAAACTTAGAAATTAGCCTGCCCCTCCCTGCCTCCTGATTGCTGGGGTTAAAGGTGTGTGCCACCACTGCCTGGCTTATTACTCTTTTACCTTTGAGGACAGAAGAGGCAGCAGATCCCCTGGGACTGCAGTTACTTCCCTGTCCTCTTGAGGAGCAGCATGAGCTCTTAACCATTGAGCCCTGTGCCCAGCGCTATCCTTCTACATCCTTAAGACTCAAGAGAAGCTTCTTTTAGACTCTAACATGTTCATAGTTCCCTCATTCCCTTTCCACATGTTCCACCCTTCTCCTGCTAGGTATAGTCAATGCTGCTGCTTCTTTTTAGTTTACATTTTCTTTTTTTCTCTTAGAGCCTTTAAAAAAAAAACTGTTTACCCGTTTTTTGCTTTCATAGTAACCTGGTAGACTGGGTGTTAACCACGTAATTGCTTATTTTGTCCACCTTCTTTTCTAGGTTGAAGCCAAAATTGTATTCTTCCTCCTTTTTATCTCTCCAGCACTTAACACAGTATCATAAAGGAACATTTAGCATTTTCAAATAAATGTTGATTACCAATTATAAAACTACTTTTATTGCCCATTTTTAAGATTTTTGACTAGTATAGGAAAAATTTAAAGACTGTTAGTATAAAGTGGATAATGAGTACACTGAATTAAGGGCTTGATTGTTTTAGTTCTGTCTTTCCATTTCTCTCTTAAGATACATAGTATGAAATTCTTATATATAACATTGATGCACATAGGATAAACATGTGGCCATAGACTTAAATTTATTGTTTTGTTCAAGTGTTTACTCACAGTATTTGCTCAGCATGTGCAAGGCTAGGTTTATACTTTTCTGTAAAATACTTTTACAGAAAAGTATTTACTGAAGTGGGGACTGCTATGTGGATTCCAAGTATTGGTTAAATGTCATCCATGGTTTTTCTTTTCTTTTTTCATTTATTTTTCTGTAGCTCTAAATATTCTAATATAATTTAGATACTTTAACCTAGATGTTGAAGGTGTAATACTGAACAAAGACCCTTATTTTTATTGTTAAACTGAAATCTATCTCATTGACAAACATTGTTGGATATAATGGCATATTTCTAGTTCCTGAAAAATAGAATGAGAAAGACTCCTGAACTTTATAACTAAAGGTGAATAGATAGAAGAAGAATAAGCTAATCTATGACAAGACACCTGCAAAATTCTAGCTCATTTTAGACAGACTCTTCCCTCAAAGAGGTGCAGTAAAGGTCTAAGTAAAGGCTATGTTGGGAAAATCTGGCCAGCAACACTTATGCTGAATGCATTTAGCATCATTTGTGATAAGATGTGCTGATGTGTAGAGAACATACCCATCTGCTTCTGTGGTTTTTAAATCAGAGAAGCCTTAACTGAAGAACATTGACAAAATTACTCAGATAAGGACAGCAATCACAAATCAGAGAAGCCTAATTTGATGTTCTGAATTAAACTCTTTGATGTTCTGGATTAAATTCTAGAAGAGATATTATGAACATGTGGGGGAAACCAATGATCTATTCAAAGAACAGGATTTAGTAACAGCATATCAGCATTGCTTCATTAGTTGTAATAAATGTATCATAGTAATGAAAGGTGTTAACAGAGAAATGAGTGTAAAATATATAGAAGCATTGTGTACCTCTTCTATAATTCAGACTTTTCTAAAAACTGGGGAAATGAATCATTGGGATTATATGGAGCATTTCCAAACCCTTGGGCCAGGCCCAGCTCAGTTCTTGACTAGCAAAACAGTAAAAGAAGAGAACCTGTTTGAAACACAGTGGAGGACACAGACTGGCACCTGAGGTTGTCTTCTGACCTCTGTTACCACGTGGCATATATACATGTATATTTACACACAAACATGCAGGCAAACATACACACATACACTTATACTTTAAATAACAAGAGACCCTATCTTTAAAAATAAAATTAAAAAGGTCATAGCAGTACAACATTTCCAGAGCAAATTGACATTGATCAGGTAATTACTCAATACATTTGTTCTTTTTTATGTGTTGGGTTTTTGTTGTTGTTGTTGTTGTTGCTTTATTTAGACAGTGTTTCATTACATGGCCTTGGGTAGCTGAGAGCTCAATATATAGAACAGTCTGGCCTTAAACTCACAGACGTCTACCTGCCTCTGCCTCCCAAGTGCTTGGATTAAACCTGGCCCTTGTTTGTTTATTTGTTGTTGTTGTTTTAGTTTTGGTTTTTGAAACAGTGTCTTTCTATGTAGACCAGCTTCAGCTGGTGTCTGTAACTCACTGTGTAGTGCAGACTGGCCTCAGAATCACAGATGTCCCTGTCTCTGCCTTCCCCATGCTGGGATTAAAGGTGTGTACCATCTCATTCAGCTCATTATGTAATTTTTTGAGCATCTTTAATGCATAGATAATTTTATTATTTACTCATCTATGTATTTACAGGATCTCACTTTGTAGCCTCAGGAACTGGTGTAGTCTATGCTGACCTTCATCTCACAGCAGTTCCTATGTTGCAGCCTCCTGAGAGCTGGGATTATAGGCATGAGCCACCACACCTGGCTGTTGAAAAGATTAATATTTCTCATCATATTTTGGAATTCTTCAGTTATTTCCTCAGATAATTCTTTGCAGTTTTTCTTCTTTTGTTAACTCAAGTTAATTTGTTGCTATACTTGAGGGATCCATGCATTTTTGAAACTCTGGTTTTTCTTTTTTGTTTTGTCTTTCTAGGAAATGCCAAATTAAACCTGTAGTAAGACACTACTGCACATTGGCTATAGTGGTTAATATTTATTTTTAATTTCTTCTTTTTTTTTTTCCTCCTTTCTTGAGCAGGGATTCATATAGCCTGGGTTGGTTTTTAACTTAAGTAGCCAAAGATGGCTTTGAAGTCCTGATCCTTTAACCTCTGCCTCTCAAGTGCTAGGATTATAGGCCTGTGTCACCACACCTAATATGGTTAGTAATTTAAAAACTGGCACTAATAAATGTTAAGCATGCAGAGACATTAAAACTCTTTTACTTCCTGCTTATGGGAGTAAAAGCTTTTCCTTGCCTTACCCCTGTCCTGAGTTTTGTATTTTACATACTTATGGTCTGAATGGTACTTTGGATGAGGTTGGCAATTGCTCCTGAATTCCCAGGTAGTAATAAGGCTGGTGCTCAGTTATTGTTCAGTGTTCATTGCTTGACAGTGTGGTTCCTTTGTGCTTTTCATTAGGAACATGATCTAAGACACAGGTCCGAAGGCAGGTATTCAACCGTTAATTGGGATTAAAAAAAATATACAGATGCATGCAATATGTTTCCTCTATATTTCTTTTGCAGGTAGTAGCCACAGCTATTTGGGTGCCAATAGCAGAATGTCAAGAAGAGCACATTTATGCTCTGCCGCTACCAGTAGCTTATTAGACATTGATCCTTTAATCTTAATACATTTATTGGATCTTAAGGACCGCAGCAGCATGGAAAATCTGTGGGGTTTACAGCCTCGCCCATCTGCTTCACTTTTGCAGCCCACAGGTAAAATAATAATCTGTCTTTTTTTCTTTGGTTCTCTGAAGAACTGTTGAATTTCTACCCACATACCTCATGTTAGTATTGGAACACAGTATATTTCTCTAATAGAATGATTTTTCACATGTCATGAGTAACTTTTTATCCTATTTACTTGGTATATATGTGTGTGTGCACACGTGTATGTGTTTGTGTGTAAACTCAGAATCATGTCATGCTAGGCGAGCTGTACCTACAGCCCTTCCCCTTCTTTTCCTCTGTCATTGCTCAAAAGTGTTATGTCAAAAACAAATTTTAAATGCCCTTTAAAAGGTTTTAGGGCTGTGACATGTAGCTCAGTTGTATAGTGATTGCCCACCACAGACACAGCAGAGAACAAAACGAAGTTCTAAATGGTTGTCTTTATGTTGTGTCTAACTGATAGAGAAGCACAGTTGGCTTTTTTTGTGAACGAATTCAGTTGTTTAGGCCTGCCTTTCAAGGGGAAATGTGTCTTAAGTTGAACATGGAAAAAATTTTCTTAAATAGTCATTATAGGAAAAAAATGCATACTGCTACTATTGTGGCACACCACTGTTACCTCAGCATCAAGACTGAGTCATGAGTATTTTTATGAGTTTGAGGTTAACCTATGCTACATAGTAAGTTCAAGTCCAACCTGGACTATATTGTGTGACCTGTTTCAAAAAAACAAAACAAGACATGGTGGCATAAGATTTTAACCTGGCAGTTAGGAGGCAGAGACAGGCCTATCTCTGTGAGGTCATGTCCAACCTGGTATACATAATGAGTTCCAGACCAACCAGAAAATACATAGTATGAGACCCTTTCTCACACATACAAAGAAAAGTCAAAACCTGAGAGACTGTATATTAATTTCCACAATATTATGTTAAAGTTATTTAAAAGAAAAATGCATTATTGTAGTAAGACAGAGATTTGTATAGTCCAGTCTAGGCCCTTTGAATCTGAGATAGAGATGTTCTATACAGACAGTGATTTATCATTAAAAGACCAGTTTTAGGAACTGCTGGTATAGCTCAGCAGTAATGTGCTTGCCTAACCTGTGCAAGGCCCTTCGTTACATCCTAACCCCCCAACTCTTGGTGTTGGGGAAGCATCATTTTTTTTGGAATGTTTTTTATAACATCATTTGTTGCCAAAGACTGGCCTTGACACACAGGTTAAACACCAGTGGGATGCAGGGTTGGCGAAAGAAGCCAAAGGCTGTTTGCCTCTGACTTCTCAGGGCCTGCACTGTTTGTGACTGGCAGAAAGCTCTAAACTCTCTTAATACTTAAGGACCAGTACTTCGTAACTTGCAACTCAGGGCCAAAAGCTAAGAAACTCTGAATTTCAATTCTTTAATAGCTGGAGCTGGTGGCACTGGCAGCTCTTTCTGCTGATCTCTTTGGGGGGGAAAAAACTATAAAACTCTCTTTAACTCTTTAATAGCTGGAGCTGATAGCTTCTGGCTATTTTCTCTGCTAATAACAGAGAGAAACTCAGAGGGAAAAGGAAAGAGGACAGAGCCAGAGCTGATTTCTTCTGGCATAGGCTGCCAATAGCGAATGAAAAGGGGAAAAAATACAACATCACATAGACATACACATACATACATATGTACATGCATACAGACAATCAGACACATATTTGATGGATGAGGCAAGCTCCAAGAGGCTCCAACAACTTCACACATACACAGACAGACAGACAGACAGATTTTGGATCAATGGAGAAAAATCTAAAGAGCAAGCTCCGAAAGTGCAGGCGCCAAGAGCCTTCAGTTATTGCCATACACACACACACACACACACACACACACACACACACACACACACACA